GATACAGTTTCATAGGCTCTGCGATTCCCGCAACCCCTCCTTAAGCCCTCCCCCCATACTGAATTCCTCCATATTGTTACAATAGTACAGTTCATAGCCAGTCATGATTCCTTCATTGCGGGCATGGACCATGCAGACAGTCCAGCATCTTATTGTCCAGATAAATTCAACAGTTTCATTGGGAGACCACCCTTTGTCTGAAAGTAGAGCTGGAACAATATCATGCCACAACAATAGCCAGGAGCCCTGAGTGGACCTCAGAAACAGAAGAACAGTAAACTTCCTTCGGGACTCGGGCAGAGAGCTTTTTCTGGTCCTTACTTAGTTCCAACTTTGGATCTCCACCCTCTCTTGCAATGACCACCAGGGTCGCTATGGAGCCACCAAAATTAGATCAGATAGACAGAGAGAGACCAATAAGAAAAGTTTAAAACAGTCTGGAAAAGGGCGGAATAGGGTAAGGACAAGTTTAAACGGACGGAAAAACATTTAATCAGGATGAAACAGAGAGGACATATTCCAGGAAATAGGAAAGGACAGAACAACAGCAGAGGGGTACCTGGAGACTGACAGACACAGGAAAGCAACAGACACAATGGTGTGGTATTGCAGTGACTGATACTCCAGCAGCATTCAGCTAACAGCAATCGGAACTCCACCAGCAGCTGGAACTCCACCAGCAACCAGGTGGGAAGGGACTTTCACTGGGAGCTTGGGAGGTGAACCCAGACGGGGAACTGTCCATCCTGCTGGTCCATTTGATTTGACCAGGAACAGAGACAGAGCAGCAGATCCCAGATGGACAGTGCAGGAACAGGGTGGATTTCACAGCCCAGTCAGCTCCCTAGAGGTGAATTGGGTGCCATTTTGCATAAGGAGTGAAAGGCAAGGGAAAGGACTAAACATATGCTGAGCTGGGAGTGAACTCATTTCTGACGCAATGAGCTGCAGCAATGTGGCATTCTACAGGTTCCACCAAAGACAGGTCTGTGTAGCCCTAAGACCTGATGGCCAGGAGATCAAGAACTTTAGTAGTGGTACATGAGGTGCCATTTTGTTCACTGTGGCAATAGCTTTAGGTCTGTAGGGGACAACAGTGAGCTGTGCATATGCTGAGCTCGTGAGAACACACAGCTCTGTGGATTGTACTGGTCCCATAGGAAAATAATACCAACTGTGGCATCGTACGGGTCAAATAGAGTCGTGTGGCACCCAGATCTAACATCCCACAGGTTCCGACAAGATCAGCACCACTAACAGTCTAGCTATATAGGACACCTGGTTCTCTCTAATCCTGGGACCTGCTCCAACCGGAAGTGGGAGAAAGGTTACAGAGACAATGGTGCAGCCTCAGCTGGTATCACAGGAAGTGGAGAGTGGTAAGCCAGGAGCTGCGGCTGTGGAGACCATGGTGGAAAACTAACATAAGAACCCATACCTGGAACTCACTGGAGGTTGTGGCACAAGTGGCTGCAAGCAAAGAGTTGTGTACCAACTGCAATAAGTAAATTCGCATTGTAGACCTGTGAGTGACACAGCTTAGAAACCTGCCCCAAGAAGTAAACTCTGCTAATCAGAAGTACAATGACCAAGAGCAAAAGAAGAGACAAAGGCACAATGAATATTACTGAAAACTCCCCTGCAAAGAAGCAAAACCCTATGCCAACCTCAGAGTTCACTGATGAAGACATCGAGAAAATGGGGCACACAGAATTCAGAAAACTCTTTTTAAAGCTTCTGATAAAAAATGAGAAGCACATACAAGAGTTCAAAGAATTTAAGGAAGCAATAAAGCAAATCAAGGCTGATATATCAGAAATTAAGAACACAGTAGAGGAAATTAAAAGTACAATGGAGAGTCTCCAATATAGAATGAGGTGAGCAGAACAAAGAATCTCAAAATTGGAAGATATCTCCTCTCACCAGGGGGAAGCAAACCAAAAGCTGGAAGCAGAGCCAGATCAGGCCAAAAAAAGTATTCAAGAATTGAAAGACACCATTAAGAGGCCAAATATAAGAGTTATGGGAGTCCCAGAAGGTGCAGAAAGAGAAGCTGAGTTTGCAAATGTATTTAATGAAATAATCAAGGAAAATTTCTCTAATCTGGAGAAAGAATTGAGAAACAAGATCCAGGAGGGGCACAGAACTCCCAATAGGCTTAATCAAAAGCAATCTTCAGCAGGACACATGATCATCAAGCTCTCTTCAATTGAACATAAGGAAAAGTTCCTTAAATGTGCATGTGAAAAAAAATCAACTGACATAAAGGAGTGCGAATTAAACTCACAGGAGATCTCTCACAGGAAACTCTACAGGTGAGAATGGAGTGACCTATTCCAGATTCTAATAAAAGAAAAAAATTGTCGCCCCAGGATAATGTACCCAGGGAAGCTTTCCTTTGTCTTTGAAAATGAAATAAAATTGTTCACAGTAAAGAAAAGTTAAAAGAATTTGCCTCTTCAAACCTGCCCTACAAATGATACTTCAAGATATTCTCTTGACAGAGAAGAGGAATAGCACCTACCAAAACCAAAGGCAAACGGGAAGAACATCCCAGTAAAATGACAACAGAAGGCTAAACCAATGGACAACCCATTCCTAAAATGGCAGGACCCAAGTACCATGCACACATATAAACCCTGAATGTAAATGGCTTAAGCTCAATTAAAATGTCATAGATTAGTAGACTGGATTAAAAACCCCATCTATTTATTGTCTAGAAGAGACACACTTCACCAACAAAGATCAGCGGAAACTATATTACTTGTGTTTTGTTGTTTTTTGTTAATTTCATCTCTTCAAAACACTTTCTTCTGATTAAATCATTTAATGACTTGCAGATCATACAGTAGCATCATTTTCTTCAAGAAGGTTCTTGATTTTCATTTCTTCAGCTACACGTTAGTCATTTAGTAGCATGTTATTTTACTTCATGGTGTTGTTAATTTATTTTTTCTCCCTGATGTTGATTTTGTTTTGTGGCTCTTCATTTAAGGGGATGTATAGTAGTTGTGTAATGGAGACTGTCATATCTAGTAACATGTCATTTAACTTCATGGCAATGTAAACTTTTATTTTTCTTTCTATTGTTGATTTTTATCATGACTTTTCATTTGAGGGATGTACAGTAGCTGTGAAATGGAGACTAACATATCCAGATGTGAGCATACAATGTAGTATGCATTTCTACTTCCAGACAAAGATGGACTTACAATGAAACTGTTTACTATATCTTGACAATAGGATGCTGGACTCTCTGCCTTTGTTCATGCCCGCAACGATGGACATATGACTGTGTATGAAGAATTATGTTAGTAATGATATAGAGGAACTAGGTAGGGGGAGGGGGAGGGAATTGGGGAGGAAATAAGGGAAATTCCAGGAGCCTATGGACTTGTATCATAAAATGATAATAATAATAATAAAATGCAAAAAAAAAAAGAAAAGAGAGGAGGAAGCATTAAAAAAAAGTCTGGAAAAAATCAGTTTGGACTACCAGATACCTTACTAGGTAGGATACAAAGATTAGTTACTCCTCACCAAGGTATTCAAGATTTGTCTGCACATACCTCCTAAAATTGTTCTGTTCCTCAATCGTTAGCATATGGCTTGTTAGAGTTATAAGCCTATTTGAACCATCCTAAAATTTATGAAGTTCAGTAAAAATCATGCTTGAATACTATAACCTGCTAAATATAAAAATGAAAATAGACACAAGACATCTGAATAGTACCCTAAAACCAATTTAAGGTATAGCAGCTGGTTGTGTATAAACTAAAATTGAAAAGTCAATGAAGTAGTTACATGATGTGATTAAGAACTTGCATTTTCTAACATATTGGTCACTCAATACCATGTTAATTAACTTATGATGTTGTAAATTCCTATGTTTCTTCCTGTTGTTGAAGTTGTGTAGTGGCTTTTCATTGGAGGGGATGATATTGTGCCAGCTCTACTTTCAGACAAAGGGTGGTCTCCCAACGAAACTGTTGAATTTATCTGGACAATAAGATGCTGGACTGTCTGCATGGTCCATGCCCGCAATGAAGGAATCATGACTGGCTATGAACTGTACTATTGTAACAATATGGAGGAATTCAGTATGGGGGGAGGATATGGGGAGTCCCAGAGCCTATGAAACTGTATCATAAAATAAAATATTAAAATTTCAAAGAAATCACCAAAAAAACCATGAGCTTTTGATATAACATATGCAAAACATCTAACCTAGCATTTAAAAATATTTATTATTATTATTATTATCATCATTTTATGGTACAGTTCCATAGGCTCCTGGTATTTCTCATATCCCAGTCCCAATCCCACCCCCACCTAGTTCCTCTATATCATTACTAACATATAGTTCTTCATATGCAGTGGTATGTCCATCATTGTGTGCATGGACAATGGCAGAGAGTCCAGCATCCTATTGTCAAGATATAGTAAACAGTTTCATTGTAAGTCCATCTTTGTCTGGAAGTAGAAATGCATACTACATTGTATGCTCACATCTGGATATGTTAGTCTCCATTTCACAGCTACTGACATAATAGATCAATCATTTGATTGCATCTGCCAAACTGTCTCTAGAATAAGCTGAAAATAGTTTCCAGATTTTTTCCAAGGATGTTGTATTTATTTAAGAGGGGAAAAATACTGATAAAGATGAACATGCAGTATGCAGGAGGAGAGAGAGATGAAGAGATTGAGAGATCTAGAGATGGAGAAGAGAGACACCATGTTTTGCTCTACTCCCCAAATGTTCCCAGTGGCTGGCATTGGCTGGGGGCAGAGCTAGGAACCAGGAACTCTACACAGGGCTTTCATGAAGGTCATATACCTGAGCCTTCACCACTGCCTCTCAAGTCTATACTGGCAAGAAACTAAAGTAGAAGCTAGAACAGGGAATGAAATCAAAGGATTGTATTAGAGGATGCCAATGGTCTAACTACTGAGCTAAATGCCTGCTGCAGTGAACACAGTTTAAGAAATTGTGTGAGTAGTATTCTGAGTAAGTAAAGAGGCAATACAACTGTAAAGATAAGAGCACAGTCAGTTTAATCCTCTTATTGGTTCTGCTATTTGCTAGGATTGTGATCTTGGACAAATTTCATAGCTTCTCTGTGTCTCAGAGTCCACATTATAAAGTGGTGGTTATCTGCTGCTTACCTGATGGGACTTCTGTAAGAATTACATGAGCCGATACATGAAATGCAGAAGCAGCATGTGCAATGCAGTGAGGGCTAACTACGGGCTAGCAAGCACACATCCAGATGTGTATGCATATACACACTCACTCATTCAAAAAGGAACACAAAACTACCCTGTTCGAATGAAGTAGAACAAAAAATATTCAACAGTTTGCTCAATGTTGAATTTAGACAATAAGTCATGAAGCATGTATAATCTGTACTTTAATAATATCAATTATTGGGCCTGGCGCGGTGGCACAAGTGGTTAAAGGTCCTCGCCTTGCACGCCCGGGATCCCATATGGGCGCCGGTTCTAATCCCGGCAGCCCCGCTTCCCTTCCAGCTCCCTGCCTGTGGCCCGGGAAAGCAGTCGAGGACGGCCCAAAGCTTTGGGACCCTGCACCCGCGTGGGAGACCCAGAAGAGGCTCCTGGCTTCGGATCGGCATAGTATCGGCCGTTGCGCTCACTTGGGGAGTGAATCATCGGACGGAAGATCTTCCTCTCTGTCTCTCCTCTCTGTATATCCGCCTTTCCAATAAAAACATAATAAAAATAAATCTTTAAAAAAAATAATATCAATTATTTTTCTTACCGTAGGGTTGATGAGGACTATATTGAAGACACACCAATTTATGGTAACTTAGACAATATAATCCCAGGTAAGTTTTATTTTTCAACAAATTTCACCAATAATTTGAAGTGGCATTTAGTAAACCATTATCTTAAATATCAGATTGTAAATATTTATCTAATATAAATGAAGTATCTTTCACGTTTCCAACATCATATAAGTTATATTACAATATACAGCATTTTTCTATATTCTCTTTATTTCTCTCTTGTAATGAGTATACAGGAAGAACCTATTTCAGAAATCTTGGGCCACAGACAATTCTGTGAAATAAAGTTATTTCTGTAACAAAAACACTGGCCTCATATTCAGTGCTTTCTATTTTGTATACAAAAGCAAATCTATAGTGAATAATTATGATAGTTGAAAACCTTCTTAGGTTTACAGTGCATTTTAGCTCATGCTTTTTAAGCAAAAAATTGTGGCCTCCACTAGTAACAGGTGAGAGAAGTGCTTTTCACTCAGCAAACCCGAGGATCTTTGTTACTTGCATCATATAGTCACCTAAAAGTGAAACACGCTAACTTTATGAAAATAAACATTGGTCTGACCATAGAGCTCTGATATAATGGTAAACTCTGGAGAAATTTCTGTGGAACTGTTACGTGTGGAACACGGACAATTCTATAACACACTAAAATTGTGTGAAGATGTCTCCATTTTGCTAAAAAGGCTTGTTTTTGACAAGCTTTATTGTAAAAGTGTTCTTTTTTTTTTTTTTTTTTTTTTTTTGTTTTGTTTTTGTTTTTTTTTTTTTTTTATTTAATTTTGACAATCCTTACAAATTTAATTGGGGTAAAAAAGGGTCAAGGTCTAAAGGGGGATATAGAGGAAGAAGCCCCACCCAATCTCCCGCCCACCCCAAGTCCCGGGAGTGGGGTGCGCTTCGAGATACTCGATCAAGTGGTTCCAATAGTTCACTATCCATGGGTCGTTGCCTGTCTCGCCACCCCAATCATGATGTGGTCATTGAAGAGTTCGTTGATTGACACAGTCCCGTCTAGGGTCTCCATTTGCCCAGTCTCTGCTGCCATCAGATGGCTGAGGTTGTTGCTTGATTTGTCCTGTCTTTCCCTGGTTAGGACTCCGAGTCCGGTGTCTCGAATGGGAAGATCCTCGAAGAAATTTTGAGGTATTCCCAGTCCAGATTCCTGCTGTTTTAGTAGCATAGGGTCCGTCACAGTCCACTGCCCCGGACAGCTGGCGGCTGCAGTTGCTGGGCCGGTTCTGTCTCCACCCGTGTCTTCTTACAGTCCCGCCTGGTTCCACCCTGGACGCATTTGTCCCTCGCACGAACTAGTAGGAGTTGCAGCCCAGTCAGGGCGGCCCACAGTAGCCTCAACCAGGCCCACCTCCTACCCTGGCTTGCCAGTATATATGGCATACTAGCCCAGTCTGTCCCCGTTACCCTTCTGTTGCTACAACTAAGCCCGACAACCCTCACCAACTCTGGTTGTAGCTTACTCCAATGGGATTGGTCAGCCTAGCCTGGTTATCACCCAATCTGGTCCCCATGAGGTGCACAGGCGCTGTGTCCCTGCCTGGTCTAGTCTACCCCCCACCCAGCTCCCGCTCCTCAGTGTAACTTGCTGTTCAGCTAGGGAGCCTCCCCTTTTTCTCCTGTCAGCTCTGCCGCCTCCCTTCCTGGTTCTCACTTGTGTTGGTTGGGTGCTGCGGCTGCATCCGGCTCAGGCTACCTCACCTTGGCATTCCAGCCTGCGTGTTACTTTTGTTACGACCGGACCTGGTTCGACCCACATTCTGTTCTGGCGGTCAGATTTACCAGTGGATGACATGAACAGATTCAGCCTGGTCTGCCCCCGACCCAAGCCAAATGCATGCCAGTGGGACACTTTCAATGACCTCTTGGCTGTTGCCTTGCAAGTTCCTTGTGCTGACCTGCAGGGTCTGTGTCTTGCCAGAGGAGTTGCCTGGGCTCCTCCATCAGAACCCCTCCATGTGCCAGGTTTCGCGCATGTCAGTGGGTCCATGTGCCAGTTCGCCTCTTGTCCTTGTAGGAACAGTGGTCTTTCCTAACTGGCCATCATCCCGTTCTGGTTCTTGCTGTAGAGTGTTGCAGCTTGGCCATGGTCATCCATGCCCCCATATGGCTTGTACATGGCTAAGTTGAGGTTGGGACCTAGCCTAGTCCGCCCCACATCCACCCTGGTACTCCAGAGCACCAGAACGTGTTAGTGTCTGGCCCGGCCCGGTACCTCTTTTCCCAATCCACATTTGTGCCAAGGGAGAGGATAGCTGTATCCAGACCCTGCCGCAGCCCCGTCCACCTGTCATGACCTCTGCCTTAGACTCTGTGGCTCAACTTTGTGCTTAATGTGAACCAGTTGGAGCCAAATCCAAGCCGGGCATGTCCTGTGTTGCACCCTGTGTTCCAGTCATACTAGTGGGCTAAGGTTTGCTTAGTCCGAACATTCATCTCTCAGTCCCGCACTTTCATTAAGGTTTCATGTCCCGATTCCTGGGAATCACCAGAAATTAGTGTCTCACCTACACTACCGCTGGTCTTACTTTTGGGTGTCCCAGAGCACCTATTTCATATCCTCAAAACCCCAGAGCTCGCCGCTGGGCGGCCAGCAGGCAGAGCCTGGCACCACTTGGTGCACTGGCCGCCCAAGGCCTGGGTCTCTGCCCCCGCCTCTCAACCGGAAGGGTCATTCCCATGAAGCGCCACCCCCAATGGGAGTTTAACCCCGCCCCTGCCCGGACATTCGAACCGCCCAGCCTACCCTGCCGTCAGCCCAAAGCTGACGGGGGTAGAGGGGAGCCAGGTTTTGAACCCCAGCTCCCTCGCCAGCCCTCGCGGGTACTTACTCGCGAGGGGGCTTAGTTGCCCCCTGGCTAGGGGGATGCCGGCGTCCCTGCCTCCGCCGCAAGCGGCGGAGGCTGTGGCTGGGAATCCGGCATGGTTCGCGCCGGAAGGAACGGCTCCCATGGGGCGCCACCCCCAATGGGAGTTTAACCCCGCCCCTGCCCGGACATTCGAACCGCCCAGCCTACCCTGCCGTCAGCCCAAAGCTGACGGGGGTAGAGGGGAGCCAGGTTTTGAACCCCAGCTCCCTCGCCAGCCCTCGCGGGTACTTACTCGCGAGGGGGCTTAGTTGCCCCCTGGCTAGGGGGATGCCGGCGTCCCTGCCTCCGCCGCAAGCGGCGGAGGCTGTGGCTGGGAATCCGGCATGGTTCGCGCCGGAAGGAACGGCTCCCATGGGGCGCCACCCCCAATGGGAGTTTAACCCCGCCCCTGCCCGGACATTCGAACCGCCCAGCCTACCCTGCCGTCAGCCCAAAGCTGACGGGGGTAGAGGGGAGCCAGGTTTTGAACCCCAGCTCCCTCGCCAGCCCTCGCGGGTACTTACTCGCGAGGGGGCTTAGTTGCCCCCTGGCTAGGGGGATGCCGGCGTCCCTGCCTCCGCCGCAAGCGGCGGAGGCTGTGGCTGGGAATCCGGCATGGTTCGCGCCGGAAGGAACGGCTCCCATGGGGCGCCACCCCCAATGGGAGTTTAACCCCGCCCCTGCCCGGACATTCGAACCGCCCAGCCTACCCTGCCGTCAGCCCAAAGCTGACGGGGGTAGAGGGGAGCCAGGTTTTGAACCCCAGCTCCCTCGCCAGCCCTCGCGGGTACTTACTCGCGAGGGGGCTTAGTTGCCCCCTGGCTAGGGGGATGCCGGCGTCCCTGCCTCCGCCGCAAGCGGCGGAGGCTGTGGCTGGGAATCCGGCATGGTTCGCGCCGGAAGGAACGGCCGTAAAAGTGTTCTAACAAATAATAATTATATACTACTATTATTTTTAAAATAATAATAATATTTACTTTTTGTGAGTGAAGTTGAACTCCTTGTGGTTATTTTGCATTGCCTCCTTTCCTTTTAGGCTATAATCTTTTCCAACTTCACTTGTTGAATCCTTTATTTAGTGCAGCCAATATACCTTTAACCATAACATAAACCTAAAATTTGTTATTTCAGAAAACCTGAAAATATGGAATTTCCTAAAGTTAACATGGGGATTTTATGGAATTCAAGAGTTTACTTAATGTTATGTCTTCCTCCATTATGATTTGTACTCTAAATGCTGTACTCTACATGAACCTGAATCTGTTTTTCCCATTAGATGAGGATACTTGAAAGAGTGTGTGGTCTGGTCTTGTGGCATCATGAGATAAGCTGATGTTTGCAATCCCACATCCCATATTAGAGCATTGGTTCATGTCCCATCTACTCTACCATTCCAGAAGTTATAAAATTTTGGAGCTGAGTGCAAAGCAACTCTGTTTTCTGAAGTAACTTTTAATAAATTCAGGTTTTCACACAGCTTTCAAAAACTATAATTTGTCTTCCTCTTACAAATTCTATTCTGGTGATTCGAAGCCTTCAATATCTACAATTTCCAGAACAAAGTGAAACCATATGTCAGTCACACAGAATCTGCAGGTGAGGTAAAGGATGTAAGAATCTGCTGTTTATCAAATGTCCCAAGTGATTCCAGTGCAGATTCTCTATGGTCCATTGTATGGAAAATAACATACTATGGACCGTTTCTCTGTATTGCTTTCCAGAAAGAATTGGATACTTATTGGATACTTTTGTTACAATAAATATGTATGTATTTTTCTCTCTGTAGTCAATTGGTGACCAAATTTCTGCCACGTTAGTGACAATCCTATGAGTTAGTAATACCCTTTTTAAAATGTGCATATCTGGAAGAGGAGAAATAAGTATGCCCTACAGGCTGAAACAAGCCAGACTGATGGACACTCTGACAAAGTCCCCCAAACAGCACCAGCATTCTATTACCCCAGGCCCTTAGCACAGCCATCTTGTTGGTAGGTAAAGGTGTGCACTCTTTTTTCTCTTTAAATCTCTACCAAAAAGATTCAACTAAAAATTCCTGGGAGCTTTATGGTTCAAACTAAATATTATTTGAGGCTTACATGTGTATCTTCATTTGTTACCCCTAAATCCTCATCTTTTTGACTTCTAAGAACCAATGGATGAAAACTGTTATGAACAGATGAAAGCTCGGCCAGAGCAATCCATAAATGCGATGCAAGATGTCACCGTGTCCACACAGGTGGGTTTTGTTTTCTGCATGAAGTGTTATCACCAGTCTAAGTCAAAGCACATATGAATGATTCAGGAGCCAAGCAATGCATTCTGACAAACTGCTGGAGCAAACTCTTAGGAATTTTGCATTTTGAAACAGCAACAAGTTCTGGAGCCTGAGCTCTAAAGATAAACTCATTAGGAGGTAAATAGAACTCAAAATACACCGAGTCAAATTTCTGTGCAAATACAAAAGCAATATGTTTGAAGGAAAGTGTGAGATTATTCATAAATACTCAGTGTTTTCTTTCAGACTTAAAAAATGTATCTATCTGTATGACAAATAAAATTGATATGTATAATGTTCACAAGACTTAGAATTCAGGCTTTCATCAAAGGAAGGCATATTTTCAGAGAAATTAGCTGTGTTTAACAGGACAAATAAATGAAAATTCTAGTGCATTCCATTGACTGTGGTGCTCAGATAAAGTATTATGAAATATAAACACAGCTTGCATGGGAATAGCCATGACTAAAATCTAAATAGAGACATATAAAAATCCATAGTGAGTTTAATCGTCTTAGTACAGCACTGATTTCATTAAAAGTAACATCTTAAGCCTACATGCTAATGAAGTATCATAGATTTCTATTAAAACAGTCTTCTTTCCTGAAATTTGATCTCTTTAACTTTTATAAAAACAATCATACCATCAGAGTTTCCTAAAGCAGCGGTTTTCCGTCAGGCATTGAATTGTGTGCATTTATATGAGAAGGGCAGAGTCATCCTTTGCATTTGGCAGACTCTTGCAGAGGCTGGATGACTTACCCTAGAGCATTGGGGTACTGAGGACAGACACAGAATCCAAACTGAGTCCCAACAGAAAACACCCTCTTTCATAAACGGAGCACATCTTGGAAACCTTCTAGTAATGTAGAATTTTTCTTTTTTCTTTAGATGATTCCACTGAGAAATTAGAATTTGTGAATTTTTTATTAAGAAACCAAGATGTGGTGAGCTTGAGTGATGTCTAAAGTCACTCTCTGGCAGGCAAATTTGTCATCTGGTGTTCAGTTAATTGTAAAATGTATTTTTAGATCAAGATATGAAAAACTATATCAAATAATATTGCCTGCTAAATCCATTATAATAAAAAGAAAACCTCTCAAAGGAGGTTAAATATAGAACTATCATCTGAAACACAGACTCACAGCATCTTAGTTGTGAAAGTTTTGAGAATTCTAATTAGAAATTATTATTTAATATATGAAAATTATATGAGCTAGCTTTATTAGAGCTACAATAGGTTTATACTTAAGTTGAAGTTATACAACTTAGAGTATCTTTAAAAGCTGCCTACATATATATCACATATATAAATATATACACACATATATATAATGATGCTTCTGCAAATTAAAATTTTTTCTGTTACACCCTCTGACATATTAAATTCCACAAATTAGAAATTATTATTTTGTATCAGCTTTATTTTGTTTGAATGAACACCATTATAAAAAATATCACTTGCTACTATGATATCATATTAGTCACAAAGGCATAAGGAATTGATACTATTTTCCACAGCTTTATAAAGAAAGTATCTGTTCAAAAAGTGTAAAGAACTTCCTCGCCCTTTTAACATAATGTACACATCTAACATAGTAATCTCAGGATTTCAGTTAATTAACTAGGAAGTCTTAAATTAGAAAGGTTAGTAACGAGTCCTCAAGAGTTCCTGTAGCCTAAACCTTTTGCGAATTCAAGTGAGGGCTTTATCCTCTTTCCTTGTTATCCAAATCTCTAATCAATCTCTCCCTTCCGTTCCAGTTAGAGACAAATTCTCTTCTTTCCAGAGCTAAAACTTTTACTTATGACCCTGATTATTTCCCATAATTATTTTTGGGCTTTTCTTATTTTACTAACTTTCTCAATTTTTCGTGTTTTTCTCTAAATGATTCATTATTTACCTTCAATATGCACATATCTCAACAATTTAAAAACACAGAACAAAACCTTATTGCCTTGCTTTTCTTTTCTTCTAATTTTTAAATAGCTCTCTGCTTCTGCCACTTCCGTTTCTTTTTGCAAATACACAGTCTTTTCCCCCTGGCTAGCATCTTCCATGCATGCATTCAACTGCAACGTTATCACAATTTCACAATGGCTATTACATTCATGTCTCATGCTCTAACTCTGATTTTCTAAATGCTGCAGAATTTGGTATGTTGACCAAGTTTTAACAAGACTCACGTTATGATATTTGGAATGCTCTCATTAAAAAATGTGGAATCCGTTTTCAAAGCAATTTAACAACAGAGGGAAATTATTGTCTCATATAATGGATATCAAAGTATATATTTTTTGTTTTGAGGTAATTACATACGGGGGTGTTCATGAAGTTACTGATTTCATTCTCTTCTACTCAGGTAATTTTTTTCCTGATACTAGGAAAAAAGGAACTTTCTATGCTTGAATGTATTCATCAGTCCTAAAGTAGCTCTGCTTAAGTTACATGTCATGGCCCACCCACTGTTGCCAGCAGAAAGGGTGGCAGCTAATAAATCAGATGTGAGAGATGAGAAAGTGTGTGTGTGGCATGCTTTCTCAGACCCAGCATGGGTCTGGTGCATAGCCTTATAACTGATAGCCTTTTCAGAAACAGGAAGAGGGGAGGAATTTCCCAAAAACAGAGGGATATACTTGGCAAAGAAAGAAGAATAGAACGAAGTGAAAGAGCAAAAAAAAAATTGAAGATGTGCATTTAGCATAGTGGTTAAAACACAGCTTGAGATGCCTGCATAACCTGTATCAGAGTGTGAGATCCAAGCCCCATCTGATCTGTCTATAATCTGGATTCTTGTTAATGTGCATTCTCGGAAGCAATCAACGGCTCCTACCATCCAGGTGGGAGATCAGTTTGAGTTTTGCCTTTCAGTTTTCTGACTTCAGCCTGGTGAAGTCCTTGTTGTTGAGAGTATTTGGAAAGTGAACCAACAGACCACTTCTTTTAATCTCTTCCCCCATCAATCTTCCTCTTCCCCTATATACAGACACACAAGCATGTGTATGCGCATACACACACACACACGATCAATTCCACTGACAACTTTCCTACTTGTGTAGGCAAACTTGGTAAATCATAAGATACGTACACAACGCAATAAATTGCCACATTTTCCATGGAATACAGAGTACATGTAGGTTAATATTTAAAATCAATGTCTGAGTGTGAGTAGTGTAAAACAAAAAAGTTCAAAGATATGATATGAAATTCAGAGCTTAGTCCATAGGCTAAGATTTGCAATAAAGTACCATGGAATACAATAGTGAAATCATATGAAACTTATTTTAATGAAGCCTATGAGATAAATGGAAGAGAAAAGAGACTAGAACAAAGACATCAGTCAGGTCTTAATAAAAATTTTGCAGTAATCATTATTTTATAAACAAAAATCCAAAAAAAAATCAAAGTTGTATGTAGAACCATCTGTCCTGCCTTGCAGGAAATATAACACATTCCACTCTCACCAGGAAAATGAATGTCAATAGGGAGATACATTCAGTAGTTTTGTTAATCCAAGTGTTCTTTCATTAGTCCTTAACTTCCAAAACTGATATAATTTTGGCCTAGGCTTGAACTTAAATTTTCACTAAGAAATATTTAGGGAATTTAATGGTCATCCTAAAATTTTAGATTATAATTCTTGATACTAACTATGTTGTCTTACTTTGGAAAATACTTAAAATGCTTGTAGCTTTCATAGGTATTATTGATATTAAAAATCATAATATTGTTGGAGATAGGTATTGTTCTCATTTTAATAACAAAGAAGTTGAGGCTTTGATTTGTTTTTTAGAATCAACCAAAATTCCTATAATCAGTATATGGCAGAATCAGGATCAGGCCTAGAGTTCTCACACCAATTTCAAGGTCTGTCTTCACCCTGCTACTTTTCAAGTTATCCTAGCTTTCTGTTATTCCTGGACTGATTACTCACTGGACCAGGGAAGATCATCTGGCAGGTTTTGATGTAGATGTATATTTCCAAGGTTAGCCTTGGGAATCTGAGCTAGTAAGGCAAAAGGAAAATAAACAGAAGAGAGAAATAGTGTTTATATTTATTCATGTAAATGTAGAAAAACTGAATACTTCTATAAATACCACTAGATAACCAATTATTAAATACATGTATAGTAGAACTTGAAATTTGTCAGATTGTTTCCAGTGATACCTAGCTCCACCTCAATAAATTGAAGCATCATTTTTTAAAAAGAGTAGCATATGACAAGAGATACTGCAGAGGATGGAACAGGTAGGTACAAAAATGAGAATACATATGAGATGTTCATGTTAACTTTGAATGTAAGACAGACATAAAAATTCATAAAATTCATCTAATTTTTTTCCTACTCAGAGGTCAGCATAAGTGACACATGTCATAATCCAGATAAGCCACAGGAATTTCCAGAAGTTATCAAAATTAAAGAATAAATTAATGGCAACATTAACATTTCTTTCTTTTCAGGCGCCTGCTGAAACACAAATGTTCTATGCCTCACTCGATCACAGCTTTAAGGGCAAGCGCAGAAAGCCCAGGAAACAGAACACCCCTCTGTTAGACACAGACGGGGATGAGTCACATGCGATGGACACCAGAGTTTCTGAGGCTGCTTTGGTAAACAGTTTCTTACCTGAAAGCCAGGAAATAGAGGAGAATATTCATGATGATCCTGTCAGGCTGTTTGGGTTGATCCGTGCTAAGAAAGAACCACTAAAGTAGGTAGATAATGATCTAATTTAGTGATTGGGCTCTTCTGAGGGATGAATGATTAGAAAACAAACTGGAAGACCAGACACAGACAGACAGTCTAATTGCTTTTGTGGATGGTGGCTTACCTCTTATTCAGAGATTTTGTTCGTGTAGAGCCGTGAAGATTAGCGATTTCAATTCATTATCAATAGTGATTAGTGGTTTAATTTTAAAAAAATGTCTGCGTAGTAAGAGTAAAATGCAATCCAATTGGCAAGTTGACCCTGATAACAAAATCACAAAATCACTGACAGTAACTACTAGACAAAAGGGCAAATAATGTTCTGGAGAATAAAGAAAAATAAAAGCCAACACTTTTTTAAGACTACATTTCCACTTTCTTAGCAATGTGAAATACCTCATCATTAAAAAAAAAAATGTGATTGGAAGGGGGATAGATGATACCAAACACGTTACTGGTAAAATGGAATACTGTTCTTGGGATATTTTTCCTAAATGATAGCAGTTTCATTAAGCTAAAAACTGTTATAAAATCAATGAATATTCTTACAACAAAATGTTTGAAGTTTCAAAGGAAAGAATGAGATGTACAGAAAGAGGGAAAGGGCGGTGAGAGAGGAGAAAGGGAAGTAGGACAGCAGGGTAGTAGGCAGGGAAATAGTGAAGGGCAGTGAGAGTGAAGGGTGGGAAGGTGGGAAGAGGAAGGGAGTTGAAGAAGGAGAATGGAGGGAGTAAGCCAGGGAAGGAGGGGGTGGGGGCAGGAAATTGTGCTGGAAGGGACAATCACAATGAGAAACTTTCTTCATATCCTTCTGGATGTTTCTGGCCTTGCTGATGTACATATAGATTGTTTTTGTAACCAAAAAGAGAAAGGAGATGATTGTTTTATACACATCATATAAACTTTCGTTATTTAAATTTTTTGTGAATTTATTTCCACTATTGCATCAGAATACATTTAAATAAATTTGGTGATCAATGAGCTTTTTTCCAACTTGTGTTTTCTTCCCTTTACAAATAGCATTGTGATGGGAGATAATTCAGCACACACGATTGGGTCCCTCAGGATATTCATATCATAATTCTTTTTAGGATCAATTCTGGAGGTCAAGTCAAAGTATGTGTTCAATTTAAATTTTTAAGTACTCCCAAATTGTTTCCAAAATGTATTTTTAAATTTTTTCTGTTATTTTTGTTTATTGAAAATGGGTAATTGGTTGAAATTTATAATAAATATTTAAATCACTGGTTATATTCAAATAATATGACATCATTATGGCATTGTAGCTATTGACAATGGTGGAAAATATAGTATTGTCAAGGTATATTAAACAGTTTTGTATGGAGTTCTTTTATTGAAGAGTAGAGATGAATACTGCAATGTATCTTTACTTTCTGATATGCTGTTCTACATTGTACAGTTCACCTATGAGAATATATGTATATATGTTTACCTTTTAACAAAACAAAAAGATGTATTTGATGCAAAACAAATATGTATGAATGTTGCCTTATGTCAGAGAGAACATATGATATTTGTCTTTTTGAGATTGGCTTATTTCACTGAGTGTAATGGTCTTCAGTTGGGATTGTTTTGTGGTGAATGGTGGAATTTCATTCTTTTCAATGGCTGAGTAGTAGTCCATGGGGTATATGTATCACAGTTTCTTTATCCATTCCTCTTTCAATGGACAGCTGTGTTGTTTCGATTTTTGGTGATTTAGACCTTTGATCCATTAAGAGTTGATTGTTGGATAAAGTTCATGTGCGTGTGTGTTAGCTTGCTTCTTACTTTTGCAAGCTGATATCCAATTATCCCAACAGCATTTGCTCATGAACCCTAACTTTCTCCATGGATTACTTCCAGTTCCCTTGTCAGAGATCACTTGGTTGTAACTCTGTGGGTTCCCTAAAGGGGTCTCAATTCTGTTCCACTTATCTTCTCTGCGTCTATCCCACTACCAGGTTATTTGGTCATCACTGTCCTGTAGTAGGTCTTGAGGTTTGAAGTTGTGATTCCTCTAGCTTAATTTTTGTTCTTTATTGTAATTTTGGCTATTTGTGATCTTTTGTGTTTCCAGATGAATTTTTGTGGCTTCTTTTCCAGCTCTGAGAAAAACATTGTTGGGATATTGATGGGATTGCATTAATCTATGTATTATACTTAGTAATAAATGGGCATTTCGATTATGCTGATTGTACTGACCCAGGAATATGAAAAATTTTTCTATCTTCTGATGTCTTCTATTACTTTATAAAATGTTTTATAAATGCCATAATAGAGATCTTCCACATCTTTGGTAGGTTTATTACAAGGTATTAAGTTTTTTCCACTATTTTAAAGGTGACTGATTTTTTTTTCTAGATATTTCTCAACTATTGCTGTCTATTCTATAGTCTCTTCTAGGGTCATTGATATATGTTCATTTATTTTGTGCCCTGTTATCCTGTCTAACTCATACTTAAGAGTTCTAATAGTCTCTGTAAGTGAAGGGACTTTTCTCCAAAGCATATTTAATTTTTCTTTGTGTTCTATTGAAGAAAGCTTGATTACAATGTACAGTGGCGGGCCCAGAGCGATAGTGTAGTGGTTAAAGTCCTTGCCTTGAATTCCCGGGATCCCAGGATCACATATGGGTGTAGGTTCACATTCTGGCAGCCTTGCCTCCCATCCAGCTCCCTGCTGTGGCCTGGGAAAACAGTCAAGGACAGCCCAAAGCTTTGGGACCCTGCACCCGCGTGGGAGACCTGGAAGAAGCTCCTGGCTCCTGGCTTCAAATTGGCTCAGCTCCAACCGTTACAGCCACTTGGGGAGTGAATCATCATATAAAAGATCTCTCTCTCTCTCTCTCTTCTCCTCTCTGTATATCTGCCTTTCCAATAAAAATAGAATAAATCTTTAAAAATATGTACAGTGGTAAACATCACGTCTGGTCAAATCTATTCGGGAGTTAGTGCCCTTCCTTAATTTAGTTCCCCCTTTTTTTTTCTACATGTTCAGAAAATTCTCATTTATTCTTTCATTGAATGTACCTTTCAACTCAGGTCCTTTCTCACTTTCAGGAATGCACATGTTCCTAATATTCAGCTTTTTTGATGTTATCAGCTTATTTTTGTTTAGTTTTCTTAACTTGACTCAATTCCTCCTCCAACTTTCTGACTGCTTCAACATTTTTGCTTGAAGAGTCTTCTAGTTTTGAAATCAGTCCTCTGCACCACTCATTTGATTATTGAAGTTTTGCATTTACATGAATTGACATGAGTTTTTAATTTGCTGTATTGTATTCTACATTTCTAATCATTCTGTTTGATTTTATTTCAATGTTGCTATTTTCTGTGTAATATATCCTTAAATGTTTTGATCTCCTGTATGTGTTTCTCTGTTTTTAAAGAACTTTATAACAATTTTTAAAAATGTGCCTAGCAATTCCTTGAAGCTGTCATCAGTTAATTTTGACATTGAAATAGACTCTCGCTCCTTTGTGGGGGAGGCATCAATTACCTCCTACACCGTGCCTGTACCACTTCTTAGCCCTTGTTCATTGTGTGTGTGTGTGTGTGTGTGTGTGTGTGTGTTGTGTTTGGCACTTGTTAAACTTCTTAGATCGGTACGACTATGTGGACAAGCCTTGGCTGGAGTGAAACAGCCAACACCAAGAACTGGAATGGATCGAAGGCCAGCAATGAGGGCTTGCCCATGGATGCACCAGTACACACAAGACCTGGCATACGGACAGGTACTGATGGAGGAGCTAGGGAAACTCCTCTGTCAGAACACAGACCCTACAGGTGAGCACAAGAACCACGATAGGGAGCAACCCAGACCAGACCAGAGAAAGACACCCACCATCATACACATGGCATAAGTCAGGGGGGCAGACCAGGCTGAACACATTCACATCAACCGCTGGCAAATCTGAGCATCAGCATAGACTAGGTCAGGCCAATTTCAATCGCAACACATACCAGTGCACGATAAAGAATGCCAAGGTGAGGTGAGCCGTACTAGATATGGTTGCAGCACACATGAGAATCGGGTGGCAGTGGGGAGAGGAGGCAAAGCCGGCAGGGAAATGTGGGCTCCCCTGCTGAACAACCACTCCCACTGGAGAGCATGAGTTGGGATGGGGGCAGACCAGACCAGGCAGGGCTAAAACACCTGTGGGCCTCATGTGAGTTAGATTGGAGGAGGGCCAGATTGGGCTGACTGTTCTGACTGGTACTGATTGAGGGTTGGTTGGGCTTTGCCACATCATCAGATGGCAGAGGCTGGCACTGGGGGCTAATTCTGTTACGTTAAATGCCAGAACCACCTGGAAAGTGCATAATCTGGAGTGGGAGTGTCCTAGTAGGGAAATAGTGGGCACCTCCCTCTTGGATTACCACTCCCAATGGAGAGCAAGAAAACCAGGACAGTGGCCGGGGTGGCTAGACAGAAAGACCCCTGCCAGTATGTGTGTGGGCTTAATAGTAGGTTGGTTGGATTGAACTAGGCTTCAATGCCCACTGACAAGTACGAGAGCTAAAAGGAATGTGGGACAGACTGAACAAGCCTGCAGTACATACTGGCATGCATGTGAACCAGGGTAGGAAGCAGGCCTTGTGGGGGTTATGGGGAGTCACCCCAACTAGGCTGCAGCTCCCACTGGTTTGCATGAGGACTGAGTGTGAAATGGGTCAGATCAAGCTGGACTACAATGCTGATTGGTTCAAGTGAATGACAGGGCAGGAAACAGACCTGACCCAGCAATTGTTATGACCAGCATGTGCATAAGCTGATTGGCACAATGGATGGTGTCAGACCCAATACTGGCAAACTCATGCAAGAATCAGATTTGGGATCATCTTAGATAATGTTTCTTTGGAGATCCCTCCAACTGAACTGCTGATCTCAGAACCCAACTATGAAGAGACTATGTCAGTCAGTGGATTCTGAATAGGTTTCATTGTAATTGGAATGGCGAGATTGGCAGCAATTCAGACCTGTTGAACTTTCAAAACTGCTTGAGCAGGACCCTGGGAGCATGCCTCACATTGGGTACCTGGGATGGGTGAGATGCTGGGTGGGGCTTTTCCCTTTGTTTCTCCCCTAGCCCCAGATACAGGGGGAAAAATAATATTAGTGTGAAAAAATGGTATTACCTGCTTTACAGTAGCCCTTGACCTTTTGTACCCTAATCAACTAAGTAAAATTATTTCTAAAAATAAATAAATTATATAAAAAGTAAAATATGTAAAAGTGAGGTATATCAGCATTTTAATGTTACATATTGCTGTCAGTAAAACCTGTGTTTAGATCATCTGGCTACTTGTAAACACCTCCTCACATAAACAGGTCACCTTGCAGAAATAAGTCATTTCATATGCTTTTAATTTTTTTTTTAACCAATGCCATATTTTCCAGCCTTTAATTTTATATTAGCATTTATACAAAGCAAGCCTTTCTTGATGAAGGAAAGACAACAGAATAGTAAACAACATTTCAATATAAAATGAAATAGTTGATTTATTTCCCAGATGTATGCACTTTTTCCCAGACGTAATTGCCTGTCTATAATGTGTGTGTCACAGTGCTAGGCCCAATGGTAATGAATAGCAATGGACCCCGAGCCACCATCTTGGTCCTCAGAAGCTCTGCATGCAGCACAGACCCGTATACTCTGGGTACAGCCCTATCTGAGCAACAGCCTTTTTCCCCGATGCTGGTTGATGGATAACTTATGTTTAAATATTTGGGAATTTATATAGCCCTGAAGTGTTGTTAGATACAGAAAGAAGGGGGAAAGCCGAACACATGAACATGACCCCTTTCTTGGTGTTTTTGAAAATGACCCAGTTTCACTATGTCTCTGAAAGCAGATAATAGAGATCTACCTCCTAAATACTGAAATTGTGTTCTGGTGTTTAACTTGTCTGCTGCTAATCAATATTAACTGCCTAAAATGATACATGCTTCTATCTTGAAAATTTATTGGCTTCC